GGCAGATCGAGACGCGAGGGTGCTGCGGGGACCGAGGGGGTGTTGAGCCCGTCGGATTGCCTTGTAGCGAGGGTAATCTTCCTCGATTGATCGGGGTGTCCGATTGGGGCACGGCTGCTGCTCGCAACGATAGAGGATAGTCTCAGGGCCGTCTGGGATGTAGACGTCGATGAGGTCCTGAGAGTCGAATGCGTGGATCTGGCCTTGGCAGGCAGCCACGATGGATGGGGGGAGGACGGGAAGGTGCGCGTACTACAATGGCCGTGCTATACTAGCCTACGCTACGGCGCCCGAGAAGACACTAGGGTTCGCAGTTCACGTGGGGCCCAGTACTGCTTTTGACTATTATGCAGCAGGAACCTAGTCCACGCGTCCGTGAGGACAAATACCGCCCACTGAAGTGCAGGTATTGAAGAGTTCGTTCCCTGAGTGTTGGCGATGTATGTACGCTACCTACGTATCGTAATGTACCGTAGGGGTGCGCACCACCCAACCTATGGGAAAGGAAAGTGTGAGTGTGGGTTCCGAGAAAGAACGCCGGTTGCTTGGGGAGTTTCGACCTAATGTCGCGACTTGAGGTCAAGCGACAGGGGAATAACTAGAAGCAAGGGGCGTCCGACTGGTTCTCACCGAAGCGATGGTGAGCGAGGCTCAAACCTAAGGCTAGGGACAAGAAAATGTATTAGTTAGTAAAGTAAGAAAGAATACAAAGGAGGGCTTACTGACCTAGGGACAAGAGGTCGAAACTGAGGTCCCTAGGGCAGCAGAGGCCGGCTTATATACATGGGGAGATTTAGGGCAGGCTGTGCGCGTTGGTCCGTGCGCAGCTGGTCTGTGCGCAGCATGCCGACGCGGCCCCGGGGGCCGGTGAGTCAGAGCGGCTGCGTCAGCGGGGCCCGAGCTGTGCCGTGCGTTGCCGTCCCATCTAATCTAATCGTACAGTAGATAGTGATGCGTCCATATCAGGCAGGTAGTACAGAGGTCGCGGGTTCGAGCCCGCGAAAAGGAAAAAATTTAAAAAACGGCTAGGCGCCGTACCAACTCGTGACACCCGAGGCATCAACCTCAATGCGCGTCTCCTGATTAGGATCGTACAGCGCCAAGACTGGAGTCGTCGCGAA